GAAGATCAAGAACAGCTCTGATTGAAGACCAATTCTTAGCTGATAAAACCGTGTAATCTCTGAGTAGTCGAAGAATCTCGAGTCTCTACATGCGAGTTTGTCTGGTAGGAGGAGTTGCAGCAGAGACCGACGAAATGATGAACAAGAGTCCCCCTGCTGTTAAGGCCAAAGACTGAAGAAGAAGAAAAACGAGTTTGAGAGACCACCGTAGTAACGCGCGACGAAGAACGCCGCCGCTATATCTTTGCCTTCGAAAATCGCCGCCACCCATATCCCTATGAGGGTGTGTTTGTTTCGAATACTAATAATGCATTATTTATTTTGAAAAATTTTGCTCCCACTAATAATACTCCTATTAATATGGGACTATTCTATTAAGGTAAGATGAAATCATGGAATTGGTCTTCTTTGATATTTTTATGGAAATTTTTATGAAATATCCATTTTACCTTCTATGCTATTATTTAGTAAATAATTAGAAAAATGTGAAATAGTATTTTGAAACATTTATAAATTATTTTTTTAGTATTATTAATTTAAAATATATATTAAATAAAAAATTTAAATTTTAATTTTAAATTAATTTAATTAAAAATTATGACCTTATAAAAAAAATTTTTAGTATGTTAAAAAAAAAATTTACATATTAAATTAAATTATTTTTTTAGTGTTGTTAATTTAAAAATAATAAATTATAAATTATGACCTTATAAATTAAATTCTTTTAGAGATTTTTATTGATAAGTCCAATTTTAGAAGTGTTTAACCCAAGAAGTCCATGAAGGAATTTTTTAACTCATTTAGTCTCATGTATGTATAATTTTATTCCATAAAGTCCATTTTCTTGATTTTACACTATTTCTTGACACTTATGCCCTTATATTAATTTTGATACCCTTATAAAATTATTTTGAACGATTAGCAATAATGATGTGAACATTCATATTTTTTAAATTCACATTGGTAGGAAATGTAAAATTGGCCCGTGGGCTGCCCAAAACCCGCCCGCGAGCCAAGGCGCCCGGCCCGTTGACAAAGTGAATTGACATGTTAACATTCACATTAATAGGAGTGTAAAATTGCCCCTGTCCCATGGCGGCCCGAAACCCGCCCGCGGCCCCCGGGCGGGCCCGGTCCAGCCCATTACAATGTGAATATTCACATTGACATGTTAACATTCCACATTGATAAGAGTATTAAAATTGCCATTGGCCTATGGGCGGCCAAAAGCCGCCCCCGGCCCGGGGCGGGCCCGGCCCGGCCCTGTGACAATGTGAATATTCACATTAAACTGTTAACATTCACATTGATAGGAGTGTAAATTAGCCCGCGCCTCGTGGCTGCCCGACCCGGCCCGGCTGTTGACAATGTGAATGTTCACATGTCCTGTTTTATACTCTTATTAATGTGAATGTTCACATTGACATGTTAACATTACATCAATAGAAGTGTAAAATTGGCCCCTTCCCATGGCGGCGCGAAACCCGCCTGTGGCCCATGGGTGGCCCGGGCGGGCTCGGTCCGGCCCGTTGACAATGTGAATATTCACATTGACATGTTAACATTCACATTGATAAGAATATAAAATTGACCCGCGGCCCATGGACGCCAAAAGCCCACCCGCGGCCCGGCCCACCCGTTGACAATGTGAATATTCACATTGATATGTTAACATTACATTGATAAGAGTGTAAAATTGGCCCGCAGCCGTGGCGGCCCAAAGCTCGACTGCAGCCCGAGGCGGGCTTGGCCCGACCCGTGACAATGTAATATTCACATTGACATGTTAACATGCACATTGATAGGAGTGTAAAATTAGCCTGCGCCCCGTGGCTGCCCGAAACCCGCCACGACCCGTAGGCCGCCCGGGCGGGCCCGGCCCGGCCGAAAGGATCGCTGATGTTGAACAACTAATGGTACATGGCCATGACCTATAGTGCAATCGAAGCCGACCTCCCGGGGCGCCGTGCAAAGTGAATATTCACATGACATGTTAACAGGTCCATGAAGCGCCCAGCCCCTGATGGCTATCGGTCACTTGTGGGGGTTCGGCACCAAGCCGTCGCGCCGACGGCAATTTGGCCTCGACTCTGACAATGTGCAATATTCACATTTCAGACGGCATGTTGAAATTACATTGACTGGGTGGTAACATACCGTGCCTCGAGGCGTAGGCCCAGCGACTCTGGGCCGCCCGGGCTGCGGCGCCATCAATTTACACTCTATCAATGTGAATGATTAACATTCAATGTGAATATTCACATTTGACAACGGGTGGGCGCTGGCCGCCCGGGATGGCGTGTTTTCGGGCAGTCCATGGCCGCACGGGCATATGTTATCATCTTTCAAGTGAAAATGTTTAACATGTCAATTGAATATTCACGTTGTCTAACGGGCGGCCAGCCCCGAGCCCGGGCCACGCTCATGGTGCCCACGGGTTTGCCGCCCGACGGGCGCAATTTTACACTCTTATATGTTAATGTTAAATGTCAATGTGAAATTCACATTTAAGAGATAAGAAGGCTACTATGTCACGGGCCGGCCCGGTGGCAGCCGGCGACGGGCCGTACGGGCTACGGAATTTACTACTCCTATCAATGTGAATTGTTAAATGATATAATGTGAATATTCACATTGTAACGGGCCGACCAGGCCCGCCCGGTTCCGCCCAGCGGGCTTCTTGGCCGCCCCATAGCCATGGCCCCAATTTTAGTTTTATACTCTTATCAATGTGAATGTTAACATGTCAATGTGAATATTCACATTGTCAACGGACCGGGCCCACCCCAGCTCGCGGCCGGATTTCGGGCCGCCAACGGGCCAATTTTACATTCCTACTAATGTGAATTTTAAAATATGAATGCTTACATCATTAAATTGCTAATCGTTCAAAAAATATTTATAAGGGTATCAAAATTGAATATAAGGGCATAAGTGTCCAAGAAAATAGTGTAAATCAAGAAAATGGACTTTATGGAACAAAACTATACATACATGGGACTAAATGGGTTAAAAAATTCCTTCATGGACTTCTTGGGTTAAAACACTTCTAAATTGGACTTATCAATAAAAATCTCCTAAAAGAATTTAATTTATAAGGTCATAATTTATAATTTATTATTTTTAAATTAACAACACTAAAAAAATAATTTAATTTAATATGTAAATTTATTTTTTTAACAATACTAAAAAAATTTATTTTATAAGGTCATAATTTTTAATTAAATTAAATTTAAAATTTAAAATTTAAATTTTTTATTTAATATATAATTTTAAATTAATAATACTAAAAAAATAATTTATAAATGTTCAAAATACTATTTCACATTTTTCTAATTATTTACTAAATAATAGCATAGAAGGTAAAATGGATATTTCATAAAATAATTCCATAAAATATCAAAGAAAGACCAATTCCATGATTTCTATCTTACCTTAATAGAATAGTCCCATATTTATAGGAGTATTATTAGTGGAGAGCAAAATTTTTCAAATAAATAATGCATTATTAGTATTCGAAACAAACACACCCTCATAGGATATGGGTCGGCGATTTTCGAAGGCAAAGATATAGCGGCGGCGTTCTCCGTCGGCGTTACTACGGTGGTCTCTCAAACCTCGTTTTTCTTCTTCTTCAGTCTTTGCCTTTAACACAGGGGGACTCTTGTTCATCAATTTCGTCGGTCTCTGCTGCAACTCCTCCAGACAAACTCGATGTAAGAGACTCGGAGATTCTTCGACTACTCAGAGATTACACGGTTTATCAGCTAAGAATTGGTCTTCAATCAGAGCTGTTCTTGATCTTCAACGCCTTAAGTATGTTGCATTTTGAAATAATTTGTTTGATTTTGGAAATTTATTGTGGTATTTCGCATTTGTGAACTATCGAATGCTTTGTGAAATTGTGATGCTGTTTGGCAGGAGTATAGTTTCAATTTTTTTATTTTTCTCTCTCATAATGTAAATGAACCAAGATTCGAGTTCATTGCAGGCTGGATTTTTGGATATTGATTTTGAAGGGAGTTGATTGTTCCCATTTTTTTTTTTTTTTTAAATTTAAAGAAGAGCAATTTGAGTTTGCAATTTATGAAACTTGGGTTTTTTTATTTGGGGTGGGGAAAATCCAAATCCATTAGGAGATGGGGAGGGTAGTATCCATGGAGAATGGGGAATGGGGATGGAGAATTAATATCCATCCCATTAACCCCCATTGCCATCCCTAGTCTCTTGTCAAGGGTTTTTTATTTTTATTTTTATTTCTACAATAATTTTCCCAAATATTTGATTGTCTTGGTGGTCGGGACTGGAGAAGCCTTAGTCATTGTTGGAAAAACCCTTGCCAGGTCTGGCATTGGGTGTTCCCTTTGTCATATGCCTAACGTTTGTGGTCGTTGGTAGTTATATTAGTTATGACGTAGTGTGATATTAATTATGCCATTATTTTGGTTTTTATGACTCAATTTCCTTTTTTAGTTATGACCTCTTTGGTTCATGATTTGAGAAGCGATTTGAAAAGGGAAAGGGAAAGGGAAAGGGAAAAGGAAAATGCGTGTGAAATGTGGTTATATTTGATGGACATTATACCTACCTTTTTCCTTTTCCCTTTTCCCTTTTCCCTTTTCCTTCCTAAATCCCCTTCCGAATCTATGAACCAAACACAACGTAAAAGGATTCAGTTATGCCATTTGTGGTAATCAATCCCACAAATGTCCTAACTTGCATATGGTACAAACTCTTTAGCATAACCCCAATACTATTTACTTTGAAGTTGATATAAAAATATATATTTGTATATTTTTGTGTGTATGTGTAAAACACATATTGATTTGTATTTATGAAGTATGTACTATGTATGCATGTGTATCTTTTGTAATGCATGTATATTTTATCCAGCACAAGGGTGAGTATGATTCAGAGAATTGAGGAGATTACTGTATTTTGACTTGCTTGGCAGGAACATGGAAGGAGTGGTTGAGGTGGACGTGGACGTGGACGCTACGATTGCTGAAATGGTGACTAAAAAACGGGGGAGGAAGAAAGTGAATATTGCGGAAAGGAAGAAAACAGGCCAAGGCCGAAAGAAGAAGGTGCAATCGGTTGCAATGGATGGGGAGAGTTTGCCCGGTTCTGCGGAGGGGCACAATGATAATAATCCTCTGGGAATCACAGTTTCAATGTTTGATTATTCAGTCAAGAATCACTTTAGAGCCATGAATAGAATTCGTAAGTTATGTGGAGAGGAAGAGTGTGATGATTTGGACAAACGGGAGTTTGAACGGTTGTCCTCCTCAATCACTTTCATAAGGTACTACAATGGATTTCTAAAGAGCTATAGTATGTTCTTGTTATCTTTTATTTGTTTTTGTTTTTGTTTTTGTTTTTGTTTTGTTTTGTTTTATCCGTTGTGTGATTATCTTTTTGTTAGTGTTCATTTTTAGTTGTTTAGGTTTTAAGTGAAGATATTCTTGGCTAACAACGATAGTTAAGTATGTAAATGAGTTGAGTAGAGTTGTGCATTGGTCTGTTCTACTTAGCATAGTTGAACTTAGCAATTGGTGGAGCTTACATCAATTTTGATTGTAGCTGTGACAAGTGACAAGCCCATTCAAGTTTATATTTAGGCTGTAGCCAACCCCATTTGATAGGACTTAAGGCTTAGTTTGGGTTGGTTTGGTTATGGTTGACTTGTTTTAGATTGATTTCTTAACAGATCTGACTTAGGCCAAGTTTGGCATGTCTAGAAAAAGCTAAAAAGTCAAAAAGTTACTCAAAAAGTTAAAAAGTTAACACTATTTACCAAAAGTCAACAATTACGGCTGCACAACTCCCAATCCTAATTTTCTCCTACAAACCAATTTTTACAATTTTTTATTACACATTTTCCCATAAAAAGTCAAAAAGTTAACCCAAACATCTATATTGTCTTCCTCAATTTTTTAGTCCAAAAAAACAAAAAGTACACTTATTTAGGACACCCCAAACAACCCCTTAGTTTATTTGTTGAGTTAATACAGCAATCAATTCAATGGCCGGTTCCAAACTCATACGTACACCAAACAAACGAGTAATTATAATGTATTGGCAGCAAGAGCTTGTTCAATGCTTCATTTTATGGCCAAATATCATCTATCAACTATCTTCTAAATTATTTTTTCTCTAATTGTGTTTCTTAAACAAGTCTATATTTCTTGTTCCACCTGTTGACATGTTTAATGGTCTTATGTTGCAAAATCTTGTTATGTTGAGCAATTGAGCTTGAAGTCGAAGGGTCGGGTTTGGCTGATTTGATCAATAAAATGTCTCTTAACTTGGTGAGCTAGGTTGTTGACTAAAACTTGCCTGCTTATGCTTGTAGGAAGTATCTTTCGAGTTGTAGCTTTTAAACAGATGAAAAATGTTTTCTTTTTTGTGCTTTTTTGAATTCCAGCATTTCACGAGGAATTTATGTATGAAATATTTGAAGAAAAAAAACGAAGTGAAAAAATTGCTTATCATTTACTTTCCACTTGTCTTCGATACCATGGTTGTGCTCTTCATTGCTTGTTTTTAGAGTTAAAACTTTTAATTTATTTAAATATAAATTTGTTACTTAGTGTTGTTATGCCTGTACATAAACTAGATCCTTGCATGTGTACAGAGAATGGACGCATTTTAATTACCAACCAAGAGTAGTTCGGTTTGCTTGTCAAAATGAAAGTAGTCCTCAGGGAAAAGATGTTATTGGTGGGATAACTTTATCTCAATTCTCGGCTGCTACTGTTCCTAAGGTACATGATAAGGAATTATTTGTTGAGACTTGTAAATTTTGGTTGCTTCAATTTTGACTCTCTTTGCCATAGGGTTTCTTGAAAGAGTTGTACAAAGCCTATATAATTTTTCTTTCCCTCTGATAGTTTGGTTTTCATATTGATGCAGAAGGATGGCCAAGATGGGAATATATTATCTCCGGTATCCAGGTATGTTGATTAGTTTGAAGCGATCCTTGTCTTTGGGATTCATTGTACTTTCCTTTTATTAGCTTTTACTGAGAAGGATTCCTCATCCATTTCCTTTATTTTCATCTTTCTTTTTGTTTTATTTATATATTTTTTTGATACATATTATTTTCTGTAGATTTTTAATGAGAAACTTCTTATTTTTTTAAAATTTTTATGGTGTGTCCTATTGATGTTATCAGGATAAATTTTAACTGTTAGTAATGGTGTCAGTGAGGAATAACAGGTAATCAAGAATCTTAATCAACTGATGTTGGGGGAACAAATTGCAGGCACATCCAACGATTAACAGTAGACTCTGTGATGTGGCATGAGTGCAGGTAACACTGTTCTATAAGCAGTGAGCCCAACATTAATGTAGAGCAGTGGAAAAGTAGGTTGTTGGAGCTGATTTTTGTTATTTTGTGAAGGATGGATGGGTTAAATTTTGGGGATTCCAGGATTTCAAAAGGTGCAACAAAAGGGTGGGGTTTGATAATGAAAATACAAGATTTTGGGGACTTTTCGGGGGAGATATTCTTGCGCTGTAAACAAACAGCACCCTTGTCAACAGTAGCATAGGGTTGTTGTCGGTTATTTTAGGAATTACGACTATGATTGACAACAAGTTAGGGTTGTGAAACAGTTTTTTATGGTTGGAAATGTTTAAAATAGATATGGTTCTAGAGTATTATAGGCTGAAAGCACAAAAAATTAAGATGAAACCAGAAGAAAGTCTAGGCATCACAGCTAGAATCCCATTGGCATCAAACCTAATGTTTGATTGCATTGCACAATTCACAGAACAAAGATATTAAGCTTTGAAAATTCTCTAAACATTGATAGACATTGAACTAGAGGCATTGCCTTACTTTATACAAAAATTTCCTAAACAAGAAACTATGGTAGCGTTTGGTTAAAATTTAGAATCATGATTTGGATAAAAAATTTTGAAAACTATTTTCAAAACTCATAACCAAACAAAGATTTCAAAACTCAATTTCATAACTCTTTTCAAAACTCATAACCAAACTTTTTTCAAAACTCTTTTTAAAACTCTATTTAAAAAAAAAAAATTCAAAAAAATTATTTTTTATTTTGTTCTTTAAAATTATTATAATTTTTTTTGAAAAATTATTTTTTTCAAAAACTATATATATTTTTTATACTTTTATTTTTGAGGAAAAATAGTTAATATTTTTTTTATTATTTCGAAAAAAATATTTTGTTATTTTTTAAGTATTGGCCAAATAATTTATTATGATTTAGATATATATGGGTGATCTAAAATTTTTTAAAATTTTAAAAAAAAACTTAAAAAAATTAAATAGTTGAAAAAATAAAAAATATTTAAATATTTAAAAAAATAAAACATTAAAAATAAAAATTATATATTTAACATAAAAAAGTAAATTTTTTTAAAATTTTGAATATTCAAAAACATAGTGCACAAATGTGGTAAATACAACGCACATTAAAAAGAATAAATATTTGCAATAAAAAATATTTACCCTAAAAAAGTAAAAATAAGAAAATTTTTAAATATTTAAAAAAAACCCAAGATAATTTAAAAATATAACTCAAAATTCTTTTCAAAACTCATAATGAAACAAATTTTCTCTTTTCAAAACTCAAAATACAACTCAAAACTTAAATCATAATTCAAAAACTAAACCAAATGGAGCCTATAATTTTTGATTTATATAATCTATCTAAAACTAAATAAGACAAATAAAACCATAGTTACCAAGCCATAGCTACCCATGGCCAACCCCTACAATTTATGTCTTGAAAATTCTAAAATTACCAAGTTACTCATCTACAAAACACTAGAAAACATATAAACATATAAAGAAAAAATGATAGTTAATTCTAACCTAAATAATCTTAAAATATGATTTTACTAAGCCTAAAAACTTAATTATACATGACTTTAGAAAATGTATCCATCTTTGTTCTTCTTGTGGGTACCGGTATCATGCCCGATATGTGGCAAGCCCTATGGGTGGCACATCATCAATGTGATGCCTGCGTGGCAGACCGATAAGGCACCACACAGGCATATCACATGCCCAATGCAAGGTGAGCCCTACGGGTAACCATGTTTCCAATACCCTGCCTGCATGACATAGCGACAAGGCACTATGCAAAACCAAGACTACATGTTTAGCTTAAGTGGGTGCATGCACACAGGTCTAAGTATGAAGAGCCCTACAACAGGCAACCCAATGGCCCCTCGCAGGCCCATGGTCTTTTATACCTCACTCAATCCAAGTTTGCGTACATTGGACCTTTAAGAATGAGCCCTCGGTTCTCCCAAACATTGAGATAGGCCCTTGGCCACTTATCTACTCAAGTGCTTGGGTTGGGAGCAGGACCCAGGCATCACCGCTTGCAATCATCAAAAGATTTTGGATTGGAGGCTGAGGCCAGGGGATCATCAAGATGGTTGTCTTCTTACTAAGTCAACTCCATTTTGATCAGGCTTGGAGAAGAGGTGATGGGGACCTTACCCTCTTCACCTAATGTATGTATGATATGTTGCTCTCCCTCTGCCATCAAACCACAAACGACAGTAGGGCTTATATCAACTTTCGACAGAGTTGGAAAGAACGAGCCATCTGTTCAACAAATTGCTTGGGCTCCAATGCTCTGGAGGCCTAAATAACATATTATATATGCAGTAGGCAAAGACACACGGACTCACATTCACACTCAGATTCACATTCACATTCGCACTCATACTTACACTTGCTTGTCCAGTGTTGTGAAGGGCGTGCTTAGGCGCAAGGCGCAGGGCGCAGTGAGGCCCTGGTGTAGCAAGGTTGTTAAAATCGGGATCCTACGTTGGATCGTTGGAGGTCTTTATAGAATCGGATCGTAAAATCGGATCGAGGATTGTAAGATCTTACCGAAAAAGACAAATTACATAATAATTTAATTTAAATAAACATTTCTTAAAAAGTATACACAAAATGAGCCTATATTCTATTAAAAAGAAGTGAAAATATTGTAAAAAATATAATATTCCATGTAAAATGTACATATAATGTTGTACATATAACATTATACAATAGAAAACTCGATGGTAAAAGTTTTGTATTTCATCAAAAAAGAAGGTGAAGAAGAATAATTCTATAACAAAATACTTTATAATCTACAATAATGCATAAAAAGTGAAGAAAAAATATTTAACAAAGTAGGATATGAAAATAGATTAAGAACTCAAAAAGAGCAGCGTAACCGAATGATAAGGTTTGTTGTTAGCATGCCTAGTGGAGCGGATTCGAGTCACAAAAATAATCTCTCCAAAAATTGGGATAAAGTTACAATCATCTTACCCTCCTTAGACTCCACTAAAGCTAAGTTTGTTTTTCCGACTAGTTAATTTTCTTAAATTATCGCAATATTTGAATGTTTGTTTCCTAATTTGTTTTTCTTAGTCTATTTAATTTAATACTACTTAATTTTTATTATTTATTTTGATCACATAAATTGGTATTTAGACAGCAAACATAAAATTTATAATAAAATATGTCATACAATACAAAACAAGGCTTGTAAATTAGATCGGATAGGATCGGATTAGAATCGGGATTCCACGATCTTATAAGATCCCATTAGCAGGATCAAAAGATCCTACCTATAAGGAATTTTTTACACGATTTGGATCGATTATATTCAAAGGGATTGTAAGATCGTAGGATTGTAAGATCTGGATCGGGATTCTGATAACCATGTGGTGTAGTGCTTGAAGCCACCCAAGGTGAGGCGAGTTGAAGAAGGAGCGCGACTTGGCTTGGCAAACAAAGGCGCAAGTTGCGAGGCTTTTGTAATTTTTTATTTTATTTTTGTTCTTGATTGAATCTAACAGTTCATATTGTGTTTTTAGAGGCCCCAATTACAGAGGATTAGAACTCTGAGCTATACTACTCAATACCTAGCCCCAAATCGACTCGAAATGCCCTAATTGATTCGAAAGAAAGAAGAAATCTTGTAGTGTCTCTTCTCTTCCCTTCGGCTCATCTAGTCTCGTCTCTGGACCAGATGAAGTCTTGCCTTGGTTGACTCAAGCAAGACCAGGTTGGTTCTTTTTCTTCTACTTTTCTTCATCTTTTTTTTTTCTTCTCCTTTTCCTTCTTCATTGATGTCTTTGTTTTTCTTTTGTAGCCTTTTTTTTTTCTTCCTTTATCTGTCTGTCTTCTGCATCGTCTTCTTTTTATTTTTCCCTTCTCAACCTCTTCGTCTCCTTCTTCTTTTGTTTGTTCTCCTTCTTTTGGACACACAGCTGTCTATCTGTCTAAGATATTTTTTTTTTTTGGGGAACAAGTTTGTCTATGATTCTTGTAACTTGGACAAAATATAATGTTTTAGTACTCATCAAGCATGTGACACTGTCTCTTTAGTGGAAATTAGCACGGTGGCTTCCCAAAAATATTATACATTCATAAAAAAATTTAAGAATTTAATTATTAATACTTATAAACTTTATCATTGATTTGTAATTAATTTTCAAAATATCTACTGAATTGTTATTTTCTCTAAAAGGGAGAAATTAGCAAACAGTGGTGACTTCACAAAAATAGTATAAATTCATGAAAAAATTAAGAATTTAATTATAATATTTACAAACTTTATATTATATAAAATCCTTTATTTTGAAGGGTTGGTTCTTTTGTTTATTTATTTATTTAGTCTGTTACTTTATTAATTTTTTTATTGAGACTGTGCGCCTTACTTCAATAAACCTCGGGTCTCGCCTTGCGCCTTGTGCTGAAGCCTCAAGAGACCTTTGGCACCTTGAGCCTTTAAAAACACTGTGCACGTCTACTTCTACACTCACACACTTGTATTCATATACGAGTGTTCAAGGTCCATCACTGCTAACCTCTCCCTCTTCAAGATTTGCTTGGCCTTCTTCTCTCCACCTCCTGTGATCTCAAGCCCCACGATCTTCTCAGAGGTCAACGACCGACTACCTC